CTCTGCCTTCACTCTACCAGAACCCAAGGTGAGTGGCTGCAAACGAAACTTTGTGTGTTGGCCCTTTAAGCGGGTGCATGTGTTTCTAGCCATCTCTCACTGGCAGACAGAAACCCCTCTGCTGTTTACAGCCAGCTGTTATGTGGCTAACTTTCCCAGTTCTGGTGATCTGAATTGGGGTTCCCAGCTTATAGTTTAGACCTCGGACTTCCTAGGGGATCCCTCCACAGCTGAGGGAATTCGTACACAGGTGGGATCCCTCTGGAACTTCAGGTGCTGTGTGTGTGTGTGAGCCTGGCCAGCCCTCTTGAACTTCCGCCATTCCTACCAGTCTCAATGTGGCCTTCCATTTAAGCACTTAGTTATAAGGCTTCTTTCCACCTAGTCTTCAATTGATTATTCAGGATGATTTCTAGGTATTTTAGTTGTAATTCCAGTTGGGTTCTGAGAGGTCAGTGTAGCTCCCACTTTTAGGTCCATTGTTGCAAATGGCAAGATTTCATTCATTTTCATTGGTAATATACCATTGTATATATGCATCACTTCTTTATCCGTTCATTTATCAAATGGACACTTAGTTTGTTTCCATGTCTTGACTATTATGAACTAGAGGCTCAGTGCATGAATTTGTGCACAGGTGGGGTCCCTCTGGGTGGCCTGCAGGGAGTGGGCTGAAACCCGAGTCCAACACTGCCTGCTGCTCCTGCTCATCCTGGCCCCACTGGGCCTGCCATGGGCTTGCACCCAATCAGTCCTGATCAGGAGAGGTTCGTGCTTCTGCAGAAGTTTTTGTCAGCCATGAGCCCTGTTCTGGTGCCCTCCCAAGGGGAGTGGCCTGTGGATCAGGCTGAAACTGGCTGTCCGATATCCCGAGGTGTCTCAGATTGTGAGAGGGCACGGGCCAGGCTGAGGGACCTCACCAGTGCACAATCAGGCCAGGGAGGGGCTGTTAGGTGCTCCAGGGCATGTTTGGCCCATCTCACTCAGTCCCAATCGGCTGGACCCCAGCAGCAAGCTAACCTACCAGTTGTAGTATTTGCCCCTGGTGGTCAGTGCACCTCATAGGGAGAGGTTGAGCAGTCTCAGTATATCATTAGCATATTATGCTTTGGTTGTTCTGCCATTTAGTCTATTTGCATATTACCCTTTTATTATATAGGATGCTGCGATGAAGATAGGGGGTGTATGTGTGTGTGTGTGTGTGTGTGTGTGTGTGTGTGTATATATATATATATATAATTTCATTTTCTTCATATACTCAGAAGTGGGATTGCTGGATCATAAGATAGATAGTTTTTGGAGGAAGCTCTATACTGTTTTCCATAGTGGCTGTACAAAAAATGGTGGGTATTTTGAATCTAGTGTCTGACAGGAGAAGAACATTACAAAACTGCATCAAGACCATAGTTTCTGGACAAAAAGGCTCAAATGGAATAGGGACCGTATCTTTCTCTCTTGCTAGGTTCGCATTCTGACAATTTATCTGAATCCAAAGGGTCAGTTGATATTATAAAGTTTGCTAAAGAACAAGCAACTTTATACATTTTAACTAAGGTGCTTTATATGAAACAGTGTTCCATATACCACAGGGAATATTCCATGTTTAGGTAAGAACTACTGTGTTTTCCGGCGTATAAGACGACTTTTGAAACGAAAAAAAGCCTGCTGAGATTGGCCAGAGTCAGAGAGGCGGTCTATTAAAAAATGAACTGGTGTTGCCTCAGAAGTGGGGGGTAGTCTTATACAGCGAATATAGGCCTTAACCTATGTTTTAACTGTAAAATTAGGGGGGTCGTCTTATACGCCGGAAAAATACGGTAATATGATTATCAAAGACAGAATTTAGTTTTCCTCCTCACAGGATCCAATACACAGGAACATTTCCCTTCTTGGAATACCTATCCCATCACTTACCACAAACCCAAACTGTGTAAGATTTCTCATTGATGCAGCCCATCATCATTTGTGGTCATCCTTTTTCATTTTTTTTTCCTTTTAAAATATATTTTATTGATTTTTCACAGAGAGGAAGAGAGAGGGACAGAGTGAGAAACATCGATGAGAGAGAATCATCCAAGAGCTGCCTCCTGCACACTCCCCACTGGGGATGTGCCCGCAACCAACATACATGCCCTTGACCAGAATCGAACCCGGAACCCTTCAGTCCGCAGGCCGACGCTCTATCCACTGAGCCAAACCGTTTGTGGTCATCCTTATCAATTCATTATACCACTTTCTTTAGTATAGATGTGATCCTACAGATTTTGGCAAGAGGCACCAAAAAAACATGTAAGGTTTTATTAAAGAATTAATGAGAGGTGCCGAAACCGGTTTGGCTCAGTGGATAGAGAGTCGGCCTGCAGACTGAAGGGTCCCAGGTTTGATCCCGGTCAAGAGCATGTACCTTGGTTGTGGGCACATCCCCAGTAAGGGGTGTGCAAGAGGCAGTTGATCGATGTTTCTCTCTCATCGATGTTTCTAACTCTCTATCCCTCTCTCTTCCTGTCTGTAAGAAATCAATAAAATATATTAAAAAAATTAGTGAGAGGTTAGTTTAATCACAAGCATTTTTAACTATAGGAAAATAAAAAAAAAAATTGCCTGAGGAAAAAATATGTGACAACACTGATTTAAAATGTATGATTAACTTGACAAAAATCACAAAATTGATCTAAAAATCCACATTTGCAATGGGATGTTTTATTAATATATCTTGTCAGGAAGTGTAACATGTATGTTAGTACATAAGCTGTTTAAAACAATTGAAAACATTTCTAAGAAACATCTATAGAAGCATTTGACAAAAAACAGCACTGTTTTAAATTACATACAAACATAACTGAAAATGTCCTAAGGACTTATGTTCAGCTGTGAGTAACTGGAAATATCCACAAGCTGCCTGATGTGAAAAAGTGCTAGTTCTTGCATGGAAGGACAGAGTCAGAGCAGTCACTGCACACTGCAGCAGGGGAACAGACTCCATGCAGTTCCTTTTGACAGCACCTATGTAGCTGTCTTGGTAGAATCAGGAACACATAGTCACTAACAGTATTAATAGAATGACTTGTTTACTTTTCAATTTACACCTTATACACATACAGTCTAGAGAAGTCAGCATTTCAGAGGACATTCTCAGTCTGAATTTATTGTTTGGTGGACACTTGAGGGCTTGTAGAAAAAGCCAAAAGGACAGATCTTTGCTATGGATCTTGTGGAGGCATCTGTGGAAACTTACAGTGCTAAGAAACTGGAAGTCATGTAGTTGCTGGTAGCACTGAGGACACTCTTGACTGGCCGGACAAATAATGACAATGGGTTGGAAGCAGGTATGTATGAAACATTTATGCATCTGTCTCTCTGTACTCTATGGTTCAAAAACAGGCTTTCAGAATCTCATGCAAATGAGATTATTAGTGAATTTTAATGTGAAAGCATAAAAAGAACAGGGAATGTCCTAGAAAATGTAGGGCACAACCTTACTCTTACTCTTGTTGACATAACACATTTCAGGAGAACCATCTCCAAGTCTACATTTTGTTGTCCTGTCAGAGTTATCTTTTTTTTTTTGTGTGTGTGTGTGGAAAGTAGAAAAGCTTATTGGTCTACCTAAGATGATAATATGAAAAATGAACCAGAGTTTAAGTGTTAAAAATACATAGGAAAGTAGCTAGAAATGTAATTTTAATCTCACAGACTTGAAAAATGTGAGCAGTAACCACTTTAGTTATGTTCACTGTTGTATTTCTAGTGTCTAGCTCAGGCACATAGTAGGTACTCAATATGAATAGAGGGATGGTGATGCCACTGGTTGACTTGAATAATAGCAAGGAATCATTCTAATTGTATTAGGGTAAACAATAAATAGTGACATCAGAGTATCATAGCAGGATTTATTGGAGGGGAAAATGTAGCTTTGGTGCAAATATATTGTAGCTGTGAATTTAAATATAAGATAATTATACTTATAAACATCTTAAGTTTATTAAGTTTGAAGTTAATATTAATACAGGTAGCTCTTCTTTTTTTTTTTTTTGTTAATCCTCATCCAAAGATATTTTTCAACTGAGTTTTAGGGAGAGAGAGGGAAAGAGAGAAAAACACTGATGTGAAAGAAACACATTGATTGGTTGCCTCCTGCATGAGGTGATGAGGGCCTGTGAGGAGCCTGCAACCAAGGTACATCAAACTTGGGACCCTTTGGCCCACAGGCCAATGCTCATACACTGAGCCAAATTGGCTACAGCCAGGAAGCTCTTCTTAATGTGAAGTCTGCTTACCAAATCACAGAGGGAATGACAGAGTGTAGGGAAAGATGTAAATAGTAATTCAAATGATATTATGCTCTATAATAAATGTTGTATATTTACAAATTTATGCCAACTATCCTTTAGTAAAGAAAATTAGTAAGGCTCTTTTGATGAAGGAAAAGGGAAGTTTTTCTCCTAAGAGGAATAGTTACCATGGTTAAGAAATATCCAGTACTGGCCACATAAGCCAATAGGAAACCCTAACAAATACCAATGTGTCACTATTCCCCTTAACTCACAGGGTTAGGTTTTTGTATAAAAATTAATCCTACTAGTATGCAGTACAATTATATTTTAACTCATCCATGGATCCAACAGATTTTAAAATAGAAAAACAAAAATTTTATTAGCTGATTTTAGAAAAACTACCTCCTAAAAGCTTATACTATTGCTTAAAGAGTATTTACAGAATTGTCTGTACTAATTGCTCATTTGCAAGAGTAACACATCCAGAGACTTGAGTTTCATAGTCCAGAGAATGAATTTCAGGATGAGTCTCTGATTTAAAAAAACGTTATTTTTAGCTTTGAAACATTTTTTTTCATGTCACTGGAGTATTATATGTGAATTAATTTGCATCTGGCCTTCCCACATAACTTACATTTATAGCTATTTCTGTCCAGTGGAGTTTTCACATAATTTTGAGTGTATTTGTAAAAGAGTGAAAACCTTCCTGCATTTATAAGTTATAATTTAGCCAGTGTGCATTCTCATGACATGTTTATGTAGAGATGTGGGCCAATTGAAAGTTTTTCCACAATGCTTACACTGAAGAAGTTTCTCTCCAGTGTGAATTCTTTCATGACTTCTAAATGAAGTGGGTCGACTAAAGGCTTTCCCACATTCTTCACACTTATACGGTTTTTCCCCCGTGTGCACTCTCATGTGACCTCGGAAAGTTGTGCGATAAATGAAAGCTTTCCCACATTCTTTACATTCATAGGGCTTCTCTCCAGTGTGAGTTCTTTCATGTACTTGAACATAACTTGAACAACTGAAGGCTTTACCACATATTTTACATTCATAAGGTTTCTCTCCAGTGTGAGATCTTTCATGTATTCGAAATGAACTGGGGCAGTTGAATGCTTTCCCACAGTCCTTACATTTATAAGGGCCATCTCCAGTGTGCGTCATCATATGTCTTCGAAAGCTTGTGAGTGACACAAATGCTTTCCCACATTCCTTACATTTATAGGGTTTCTCTCCAGTGTGAGTTCTTTCATGTATTTGCAAACCTAGAGCAGAACTGAAGGTTTTCTTACACTGTTTACATTCATAGGGTTTCTCAGCATTGTGAGTTCTTTCATGTCTTCGAAAGGAAGTGGAACAACTAAGGGCTTTACCACATAGTTTACATATGTAGGGTTTCTCTCCTGTGTGAGTTCTCACATGGACTTGAAAAGTCGTGAGCCAATGGAAAGCTTTTCCACACTCCTTACATTGATAGGGTTTCTCTCCAGTATGAGTTCTTTCATGTGTTCGAAAGGAACTGGAACAACTGAAGGCTCTACCACATTGTTTACATTTGTAGGGTTTTTCTCCAGTGTGAGATCTTTCATGTATTCGATATGAACTGGGACAATTGAATGCTTTCCCACAGTCCTTACATTTATAACGACCATCTCCAGTATGTGTTATCATGTGTCTTTGAAAGCTTCCAAGAGAAATAAAGGCTTTCCCACATTCCTTACAGTTATAGGGTTTCTCTCCAGTATGAGTTCTTTCATGTTTTCGAAGAGAACTGGGACAACTGAAGGCTTTATTACACTTTTTACATTCATAGGGTTTTTCTCCAGTGTGAGTTCTTTCATGACTTCGATAGGAACTGGAACAACTGAGGGCTTTACCACATTGCTTACATTCATAGGGTTTCTCTCCTGTGTGAGTTCTTTCATGAGTTTGGAAGGTTTGATGATATCTAAAGGTCTTCCCACATTGTTTACATTGGTAGGGTTTCTCGCCCGTGTGAGTCCGTTCATGTTTGTGAACAGATTGACGATACCTAAAGGATTTTCCACATTCCTTACATTTATATGATTTCTCTACACTGTGATTTCTTTCATGTTTTTGAAAAGGTTGAAGATAACTGAAGGCTTTCCCACATATCTTACATTTATAAGGTTTCTTTCCATATTCCTGATACTTGCATGGTTTGGGTGCAGTGTGAGATCTCATGTGCCTATTAAGGGATGAATGACTGCTGAAGACTTTCCCACACACACTGCACTCCCATTGTTTTACTTTAGAAGTTTTCTTGTTCAGGTTAAGATTTGAAATATGGTTGAAGTTTTCTCCACATTGACTACCTTCTTTACTTTCACAGTGTCTCTCTACCATATGATGTCTATAAAAAAACCAGAGTATATGATTAGTGATTTCTTTATTAATTTACATTCATTCACAAACATTAGAATTATGTTTTTACAATCCATAGGGAAAAAGTAGTTTTTCTGCCCTGTCTGAATGATTTGAAACTGAATATAATCAACACTCTTAAAGAAGGTTTGACCATAACTATTATTAAAATAGTACTATTCAGCTGAAACCGATTTGGCTCAGTGGATAGAGCTTCAGCCTGCGGACTGAAGGGTCCCAGGTTCAATTCCGGTTGGGGGCATGTGCCTTGGCTGCGGGCACATGACAGGTAGGGGTTGTGCAGGAGGCAGCTGATTGATGTTTCTCTCTCATTGATGTTTCTGACTATCTCCCTTTCTCTCTGAAAAAAAAAAATCAATAAATTATATATTAAAAAAAGAAAAAGAAAAAAAATAGTATTATTCATATATGGAGTTTCTGAATACTGTTTCCAAGTAAACTATTTTGGAAACACTGAACACCTTATGTCACAAATTAGAAAACATTTTTGGTAAAATTTTCCTAAAATTAAATAAATTTAAGGCTGTGACTGTTTTTATTAAATTACAGTTTACATATATTGTTATTTTGTATTAGTGTCATGTGTACAGCATAGTGGTTGTCCACTTGATATTTCATACATAGCTATTGCAAATTTATTGATTTTTTTTACAGAGATGAAGGGAGAGAGAGAAGAGTTAGAAACATTGATGAGAAAGAAATATCAATCAGCTGTCTCCTGCACATCCCCTACTGAGATGTGCCTGTAATCAAGGTACATGCCCTTGACCAGAATTGGACCTGGGACCCTTGAGTCTGCAGGCCGATGCTCTATCCACTGAGCCAAACTGGTTAGGGCCAATTTGTACTTCTTAATCCCTTCACCTTTTCACCAGCCCCCATCTCTACTCTGATATGACAACCACCAGTCTTCTCTGTATCTGAGTGTGTTTCTATTTTGTTTATTTTGTTTTTTAGATTCCACATATAAGTGAAATCATATTGTATGTCTTTCTCTGACTTATTTTTATGAGCATAATACCTTCTAGGGCCATCTTTTCATAATGATAAAGATTTCATTTTTTTTTTTTTTATGTCTGAGTAGTATTGCACTGTATATATGTACAATATTTTTATCCACTTGTCCACTGATGGGCGCTTGAGTTACTTCCATATCTTGGCTATTGTAAAGAGTGCTGCAATGAGCATGGGAGTGCATATAGTATTTTGAATTAATGTTTTGGGTTTCCTAAGATATATATACTCAGAAGTGGAGTCATTGGGTCATAAGGGAATTCCATTTTTAATTTTTTGAAGAGTGTCAGCTTGTTTTTAAGTTTTCATGACATACGAAGATCCCATTGTGGGACACTGATTTCTATTGTGAATATAACTTACCTTAGATTTCTTTCCTGATTTTTGTACGGATTGTCAATGTTATGGTCTTCCAATTTTCTTCCTGAAATGCAGACCCAGAAAATTAAAAATGTTATAGAATAATTATTACATTGCAGGCCTATGATGAGCTCTGACTATGCCTGGTTTGTTTACAAAAGTGTTCTCTTCCCCATTCCAAATCAGAGAATAATGCTGATAGATAAGAAATATCTGTTCTCTAAGTTGCTAAATGAAGGAATGTTGACACCCTTACCTATTGAGGCCAAGTTCTTCAAGGTTTCCCGCATCACATCTTTGTAGAGTTTCTTCTGTGAAGGATCCAGCAGAGCCCACTCTTCCAGGGTAAAGTTTACAGCCACATCTTCAAAGGCCACTGAATCCTAAAGCATCCCACATATGTACTGATAAGAAGTTCACATAATATTGATATGTTGTGATACCAAAATATTCTAGAAAAATGGCGGCAGAGTAGGAGGATGCTACATTGACATGCTCCCAAGAACAAGCTGAAATTACAAATGAAATAGGTGGAGACCACATAGAGACTGGTAGGAAGGGCAGAGGCACAAAAGGGCTGGCTGGGCTCCCAAAGACGGCAACTGAAGTCCCAGAGAGATATCTCAGTTGTGGGGGAGGGGAGGTGAGGTGAGGTTGCCACTGAGATCTAATCCCAAAGCTGGGCTCCCCAGCAGAGAGCACCAAACTGAGGAGGGTACCCACATAACATCTAGCTGTGAAAAGTGTCTGCCAGGGCGTGAAGGCTGAAAGTTCAGGCACTCTCTTAAAGGGCCAATGTGCAAAAATTCCCTGTAGAGCCATTCACCTTGTGCTCTGGCAGAAGGAAGAAATGGACTGGAGCTGTGAGAGCAGAACCCAGGACTGGGGACTCAGGAGATAAGAGTTCAGAAGGCAGACAGCCCAAGTTTCCTGGACTGAGTCATTCCCTCACACAGCAGAGGGCAACTTTCCCACATAGACATCTGCCTTGCCCGAGGAGAAGACAGTGGACACACCCTACTGAAAAACACCTTGCCCTAAGGCCACTTAAGAGATTGAAAATTACAATTAGCCTCCAGGCAGAAGCATCTGCCCTCCCTTAGTGAAAAAACTTACCATACCTGAGAACAACTGCCTGAGGGCAATTCAAGTTAGGATCCTATTAGTCTGTAGATGGAGGTTGTCTCTGGAGGCTTTGAGTCTTTGCTTGATCCAATTAATCAAAAAGAGCCTTTAACATTGTCCTGCACTAGGGATTGAGAGGTATAGAGGATCTACCCAAAGCATAGTCACAAACCCAAACAGACAACCAAAATGAGGAAACAACAAAATAACCCCCAAATGAAAGAACTAGTGAATTCTCCAGGAGAAAAAAAAAATGAAGCAGAGATAAGAAATTTATCTGAAACTGAGTTCAGAGTAATGATGTTAAAAATGCTCAATAGTATGAAAAAGATATAGTAACTATGAAAAAAGGACAGTCTGAGATAAAGAATGACATAACACAAAGAACACACTGGAAGGAATACACAGCAGGTTAGGGGAAGCTAAGGATTTAATTAGTGAATTAGAAGACAGAGTTGAAAATATCACTCAATTAGAGAACCAAAAAGAAAAAAAAATCAATAAAAAATCAGGACAGCTTAAGGAAGCTGTGGGACAATGTGAAATGTAACAGTATTAGAATAGTGGTATGACAGAAGAGGCAGAAAGGGAAAAAGGAATAGAAAAGGTGTTTGAAGAATAATGGCAGAAAACTTCCCTAACCTGGTAAAGGAAAAACTCACACAAGTTCAGGAGGTACAGGGAACCCCAAACAAGAAGAACCCAAACAGACCCACACCCAGACACATAATTAAAATGCCAAAAATTAAAGAGAATCTTAAAGGCAGCAAGAGAAAAGAAAACTGTTATCTACAAAGGAGTTCCCATAAAGCTGACACCAATTTCTCAACAGAAACTACAGGCTAGAAGAGTATGGCATAAAGTACTCAGGTTATGGAAAGCAAGGATCTGAGACCAAGTTTACTATATCCAGTAAGGCTATCATTCAAAATAGATGGTCAAACAAAGAGCTTCCCAAACAAACAAACAAACAGGCTAAAGGAGTTTATTACCACCAAGCCAGAATTACAAGAAATGCTAAAGGGATTTCTGAGAAGAAACAACAGAGAAACCTAGTGATACAGAATTAAAATAGCAATAAATAAGTACCTCTCAATAATAACCCTAAATATAAGTGGATTAAATGCTCTAATAAAAAGGTTTAGGATTGCTGGATACAAAAACATGACCCAACTACATGCTGTCTACAAGAGACCCACCTCAAAACAAAACACACACACAGGATGAAAGTGAAGGAATAGAAAATTTTTTTCCATGGAAATAGAAAAGAAAAAAAAAAAAAGCTCGAGTAGCAATATTCATATCCAACAAAATAGACTTTAAAAGCATAATGCTAAGCAAAATAAGCCAGTTGGAGAAAGATAAATATGTGATCTCACTCATTTGTGGAATATAATGAAAAACGTAACTGATGAACAAAAATAGAGCCAGAGGGGTGGAAAATATTCTAGAACATAACACAAGTAATCCTGTTACTTGCAGATTTTTAATATTTCCTATAACTTTTGTGACAGTATACTATACAGTTTTGGTAATATTATACTTAAAATCCTTTTATTCTTGAAATGTTAATGTTTATTGCATGTAACATTATTGTATGTAAGATTCTTGAATTAGTGTTTATTGCATGTAACACAATCATATTTAAAAATCATTTTTCTTAAGATATTAATGTTTATTGCATGTAACATTATTATATTTAAGATAGTTTTTTTTTGAAAAAAAATTCTATGATTTGGTCACCAGGATTCATATTCTCTATACATAACCACTTCCTTGTAACTTAACAGCATCTTCAATCGAGAAGAAACCGAGATGGTGGCATAGGTAAACACCTGAACTTGCTGCCTCGCAAAACCACTTAAAAACTACAACTAAAAGACAAAATGAACATCATTCAGAACCACAGGAAGGCTGGTTAAGCGCAAGTTCTACAACTAGAAGGGAAGAGAAAAAGCACACTGAGACTCAGAGGAGCTGCAGAAGTAAAGTGCAGAGGTACGGAGGCACAAGTGCGGAGAGGGCTGGCGACTGAGTACATGGCTTTTTCAATACGCAGGTTGACACAAGCTCCTGACTGCTCTGAACTCCAGTTCTAGGTGAGACTCTGGGGACCCAGACTCATACGGGGAGAAACTGGACTGTTTGGCATCAGGCAGAACTTGAGGGTGGCTTTCTCTCAGAGGTGCTTGCAGCGATTACCAAGGGACACTGAGACCCAGGTGCCTCTTAGGGCAGGGTTGATGGGAAGCCCTTGCTGTTTGCTTCACCCTGAGACTCCGCGCGCACCCCCTCCCCCCCCGCTATGCCCAGAGGCTTTTGCATATGAATGGCCTTGTCCTTTGAAATCTAAACTTACCTGACAAACTGCAGCTGATTCAGAGAGACCCAGAACATCCAAAAGAAGGCCCAAGGCCCCATAGCAGCTTGTGTTGCTTCACAGTTGGGCCTCATCTGGGCACCTCCAAAACCCAAACAAAGAAGAGGAATCTGCAGATCTCTCTGTAGTTCCTGCTGGGTGGCCTAGGCAGAGGCTAAATTAGGACTTCCTTAGAGATCCAAGAGCCAGTGTACCCAGGGGTCAGAGTAGGACCATCCAGATTACAACTCCTCAGATCCACTCAGGGGCAGACTCAGTGAGCACCAAAGCCCCACTGAAGCAAGTCTTGCCTCATAAGGGTGTCTCCAGTATAGAAGTTCTCCCATCATAAACACAGCTGATCCTCACAGCCAATTGGCCTGGAGGTCAGTTCCTCCCATTGATACCAACAACAACAGTCAAGGCTTAACTACAACAAGACTGTGCACACAGCCCACAAAGGGGTGCACCAAAAGTGTCCACCTCAGGTAACTGGGGAGGCTGAGCCACTGGACCCTATAGGACACCTAGCACACAAAACCACTATCAACACAGGGAAGCAGCCAAAATTCGGAGACAAAGAAACAGGTCACAAATGAAAAAAATGGAGGAAAGCAAACTACTGAATATAGAATTCAAAACCACGATTATAAGGTTTTTCAAGAATTTTCTAGAAAAGGCTGATAAACTTAGTGAGACTTTTGAGGATATGAAAAAGGACCAACCAGAAATTAAGCATACACGGACTGAAATAAAGAATAATATACACGAAATCCAAGATGGCTACTCAGGTAGACACCTAGCCGCAGCTGCACACAACAATTTCAATAAAATACAACTAAAATATAAAATGGACATTATCCAGAACTACAGGAAAGTTGACTGACTGGAAATTCTACAATGAGAAGCAAGGAGAAAACCAGAAGGAAGTGCGGAGGAGCTGGAAAAGCCTGAGGTACAGAGACACGTGGCGTGCGGAGAGGACAGACGGAGCTGGAGAGAAGGGACGGCTGAGTGCCTGGTTGGCGTTCCCTAGTGGGAAGGAGATAAAAGCTCCAACTGTGCTGGGCCCCAGTTCCAACTGCTCTGAACCCCAGTTCTAGGCCAGACCCCAGGGACCCAGGCTCAAACAGAGGAAGCTGGGCTGTAAGGCGGAACCCTGGGGGAGCGGCGAAAGGAGGTCCTGGCGGCGCGCACATTGTGCGCAGAGAAAGGACGGTTGGCTGTGCCCGCGGAATTGCCCTGGCGGGAAGGAGACGGGCTCCAGACTGCTCTGAAAGCCACCTCCAACTCCACTTCCAACTGAACTGAACCCCAATACCGAGCTCATTGGGGGACAGCCTAGACTGTTTGGTAGCAGGCAAAAATCGAGGGCACCTTTCTCTCAGAGGCGCTTGCAAGGAGTACTGAAGGACCCTGAGGCTCAGGAGCCGCATAGGGCGGGGCTGACGGAAGCCAAAGCTGCAGGCTCCACCCTGAAACCCCGCCCCATCAGGAAAGCTGCCTGCGAAAATGCCTAAACCAAATAGATCACAAACGAAAGAAATGGAGGACAAAAAGCAACTGGATATAGAGTTCAAATCTATGCTTATAAAGTTTTTCAAGAATTTCCTAGGAAGGATCGATAAGACCTATGAGGATATGAAAAGGGATCAACTAGAATTAATAAGGAATCAACAAGAAATGATAAGGGATCAACAAGAAATAAAGAATACATTGTCTGAAATAAAAAATATTATACAGAATCCTAAAAACAGAATGGAAGATCGGAAGAATCAAGTCAAAGATTTGGAACATAAAGAGCCAGAAGACACTCCTCTGCAGAAGCAAGAAGACAAGAGAATCCAGAAAATTGAAGATAATCTAAGAAACCTCTGGGACAACTTCAAGCGAACCAAC